TAGTCGCCTCTTACAACCAGCAAACGTTGCTTGGGGCCAGTCCTGACCCTGGTGTTGTAGAGATAGTCACTATAATATGTCTTGTCATTCACACACATAATTTCTGACATTAGGTGAGGTGAGGTGAAATTGGGTTTAACGTCGCCTCCAAGATTATTGCACTTATATAGCGACGTGCATGCACGTGTGTGTGTGGCTGCTTGTACTAGTCCGGACTGATGCCGATTTATAGTGCTAGCCCACTGAGATACCATGCCGCAGTTTGACATGAATACCCCACTCAGACACAGTATACTGACTCCGAGCCGACCAGTCTTTGTTTTAGCCCCTTAATGCCGAGCGCCAGACAGGGTAACAACAAGTACCATCTTTTAACGTCTTTTGGTATGACGCGGCCGGGGATCGAACCCCGGACCTTCCGCTCTCCGGGTCTGACATTATATTGATCGTTCAAAATAGATGTATGATATCGGTGGATAATATCACGACGATAATAATTAACTGTTTTAAATCCTGGCTCAACTTCTGAAATCACTGATAGATTTTGCGGCTTCATCACACATACGTTTTTCTGAAGCCAGCCAGTCAATTTGTTTACTCCTTCATCAGGTGAATGAATTGGATGAAGGAGTAAGATTATACTCCGAAAAGTTTAGTTCCTCATAATAAAGAATTTGACATCCATATATTCTCATCCTTATGTGTTTCACTTCTAAATGCATTTCAAAGACTTGAACTCAAACAGCCATTAAGATCGATGTTCACTTTTGATAGCCTTAAAAGGCGACTATGCTTGTCGTAAAAGGCGACTAATGGGATCGGGTGGTCAGGCTCGCTGATTTTGTTGATACATGTCATCGATCCCAACTGCGTTGATCGATGCTCATGATGTCAGTCACTGGATTGTCTGGTCCAGACTCGATAATTTTACAGACCGACGTCATATAGCTGGAAAATTGCTGAGTGCGGCGTTAAACAACAAACAAACAAAAAACAAATTATTCGCTCTGGACTTTCCGGATAGGCTTTGACAACCATACAGAAATGGGGTTGGGCCACTGTGACTTTCAGTACGTCACTACATATTGTCCACAGACACTAGACACTAGACACGAGGCACTAGACAGCACTACAAGACACCATGCTGGGACAATAGCTTTACCGTTTGCGCGGCATGCTGATCCACATTTTGTCTTTTAAGACTTATACCTCCAGCAGCAACTCATCACAAGGATGCAATGGCCAGTCAGACCTTCCCCCTATAGGGCACGTCTGGGACATGATCAGGAGACGTGTACGCCGACGTCAAAGAGGAGTGGACAAGACTCCCTCAAATTGAAATTGGGCGATTGATTCGGACCAAGCCACGCCGAATAAAGGAATGTTTGACAATAATTATCGAACAACCTTCATTTTTTTTTATTGTTATGTAACACCTAGTTCTTCCTTTTTCTTATACATCCATTACCATCGCTCGATACCTTTTATGTATTTCTGTAACCATCTGTAACCACCCTTTTTTTACGAATATCCTCTATTTTTTTAAGAGTTATAGTTTTTTTGTTCCCTTGGGACCTAATAAAGCTTTGATCATTTCGATGTTTCCAGCTTGCTCTTGCTGGTATGGAAATAATCTAGTCTTGGCCAGGCAAACCTGTTGTAAAAAACATGATAGACGTTCCACGCTGTCCTTACCAGCGGTTAGGTTGTCCGTATGTCGGCAGAAAGTACATAAAAGTAAACGCACATTTTCTAGTGGAGGCAGCAAGAGGCTTAATTTGACTTTGGATTTCATCTTCGGATCCTTCACCAAACAATATGGCTATAGGCCAGACTGATATACCTTCAGTGCATGAGCAAAAAGTGAAAAACCATTCCTTTAATCACATGGGTTCGAATCCCGGTTCGCCCCGATTATGTTTCTAGGTTTGTCAGCACCATACCCATGCTCGTGGGTTTCACCGAAGTGGTAAACATCTGAGACCTGCATCACTTCGGGCTTTCCTCCCACATTAAGCTGACACCGTGATATAAGTGGAATAGTGGTAAAAGCGACGTTAAACCCAACTCACTCACTCACTCTCAGAAAAGTAATTTAGATTTCTCTACCCCTCAAAAACAAACTGTACGTATTTCTTAACTGAACATGAATAAATATGTAACTGCTAACTACAATCATAGGTGACACACGTGGCCCAATCATCTCAGGCACCGCTATTCGCTGTGCAGAGTTGCGTCCCTTGGGCACGCCAGAAACCTATGATTGTGGGTTCGAATCCCCGTTATAGTTCTAGGTTAGTCTATGCAACTGATGAAACAGACTTAGAACATGCAAATGGTGACCATGTCACCCACCACGTGCCCATTCACTCACCATCGTAACCATAGCACATCAACGCCATAAAATAACCAGTCTCGATTATCCGCTTCAGCAGATTCCACTGGGTGTTCTAGGCAAAACAGTGGTGAATGGATCGCTGATAATCAATGTTGAAACTTGGTGTTCGTGTAAAGGGTAATTTCCCGCCCTGCTACTAGTCCACGGTACGATTCCGACTACACAAAAAGTATGGCATTGTGTTTATGAAAACCTTTCATTTGTTTGTTTTTTTGTTGTTTAACGCCGCACGCAGCAATATTCCAGCTATATGACGGCGGTCTGTAAATAATCAAGTCGGGACCAGACAAAATCCAGTGATTGACATCATGAGCATCGATCCACGCAATTGGTTTTGGTTTGGTTGTTGTTTTACGCCACACTCAGCAATATTCCAGCTATATGACGGCGGTCTGTAAATATCAACCAAGTCAGCGAGCCTGACCACCCGATCCCGTTAGTCGCCTTTTACGACAAGCATAGTCGCCTGTTACGGCAAGCATGGGTTGCTGAAGACTTATTCTACCCCGGATCTTTACGGGTCGAAAACCTTTCATTTGGTGATGATACCAGGTGTTCGCGAAAAGGTGAACGTATCCTGCCCCACTGGTGGCACCCGTCACAAACACAAACAAAGCCATGCATTTCCATGCACTTACACACGCATGCATTTGCACAATACCTCGCAACGCTTTGAAGGGAAACTAGTTTGGGTTATTATGTCTAATTCTCCATTAAGAGGAGCCTTTTTCGTTCATTTTACGCTGCACATTAGCGTGAGGCAATATAATGTTTAAAAAAAAGATACAAAATGAATAATCAATGAACTTGTCTCGCAGGAAAATAAGACATTGTCCAATTTCAAAGGCAACACTAATGTAGTTTTATATCCCTAGTAACGATAGCATAACGTGTCGAGTAGATAATTGTACAAATGTTCTTGTGGATAAGTGTTCTCTCATTAAAAAAACATACTATGTCGCCTTCACACAAAACACCGACTTAGCAGCATTTACTGGGGGCACTTCAAGGCGAACAACTCTAAGTACTTTCAAAATATTGTTTGAAAGACATTTCTCATAAGTTGAGACCCGTTTGTTTGTTTGTTTGTTGTTTTACGCAACACTCGGCTATTTTCCGGCCAAATAACGGCGGTCTGTACATAGTCTGGACCAGACAATCCAGTGATTGATCGCACGGGCATCGATCAACGCAAATGGGATAGGATGACATGCATCAACCAATTCAGCGAGCCTGAGCACCCGATCCCGTTAGTCTCCTCTTACGACAAGCATAGTCGTCTCTTGCGGCAAGTATGGGTTGCTGAAGACCTATTCTACCCCGGATCTTCACGAGGCGGCGTTATTGATTTTAGAAGTTGACGGATGACAAAGTAGACACAATGTAATAGATACCTGTTTTTTATTCAGGTACGCACTGAAAGAAATCATATACCTTAAAAATCAACTGTTTCACATCAGCTGAGTAGCGCATGTTGTCAGTCAACAACGACGCATGCCATGTGGCACGTGCAGTACGTGTTGTGCTGGTTCCTTTTACCGTTGTACCTCTAATCCAAGCGATATCTCCTGTGGGAGCCAGTTTTGGATGATAAAGGGTATTCATGCGGTGTACAATATTGACATTTAATAGGCTATTACCGATTTTAAGTTATTTTGCAATCTATCGTTTTCATTTGGAGCCAAACTGACTGAAGTCGCCTCGCATGACAAGAAAACGGTGCTTGGGACATCGTCTAACACGGAATCTCAATGGAGCCCTGTGTGTAAGCTGTTAGTTCCTCGTGAGGAGTGTGTCCCAGATATCAGAGTAAATGTGTGCCTCGCTTACCCAATCTGCCACATCGCTTACCCCATCTGCCACATCGCTTACCCCACCTGCCAAATCGCTTACCCCCATCTGCCACATCGCTTACCCCACCTGCCAAATCGCTTACCCCACCTGCCAAATCGCTAACCCCATCTGCCACATCGGTTACCCCATCTGCCAAATCGCTTACCCCATCTTGCCACATCGCTTACCCCATCTGCCAAATCGCTTACCCCATCTGCCACATCGCTTACCCCACCTGCCAAATCGCTTACCCCACCTGCCACATCGCTTACCCAATCTGCCACATAGCCTACCCCATCTGCCACATCGCTTACCCCATCTTGCCACATCGCTTACCCAATCTTGCCACATCGCTCACCCCACCTGCCACATCGCTTACCCCACCTGCCACATAGCTTACCCCCATCTGCCACATCGCTTACCCCACCTGCCAAATCGCTAACCCCATCTTGCCACATCGCTTACCCCATCTGCCAAATCGCTTACCCCCACCTGCCACATCGCCTACCCCGATCTGCCACATCGCTTACCCCCACCTGCCACATCGCCTACCCAATCTGCCACATAGCCTACCACCATCTGCCACATCGCCTACCCCCGTCTGCCACATCGCCTACCCCATCTGCCACATCGCTTACCCCCATCTGCCACATCGCCTACCCCCATCTGCCACATCGCTTACCCCCACCTGCCACATCGCCTACCCAATCTGCCACATCGCCTACCCCCACCTGCCACATCGCCTAACCCCACCTGCCACATCGCTTAGCCCCATCTGCCACATCGCTTACCCCCACCTGCCACATCGCCTACCCCATCTGCCACATCGCTTACCCCCACCTGCCACATCGCCTACCCAATCTGCCAAATCGCCTACCCCCACCTGCCACATCGCCTACCACCATCTGCCACATTGCCTACCCCATCTGTCACATCGCTTAGCCCCATCTGCTACATCGCCTACCCCCATCTGCCACATCGCTTATCCCCACCTGCCACATCGCCTACCCCCATCTGCCACATCGCCTACCCCCGTCTGCCACGTCGCCTACCCAATCTGCCACATCGCTTAGCCCCATCTGCCACATCGCTTACCCCCACCTGCCACATCGCCTACCCCATCTGCCACATCGCTTACCCCCACCTGCCACATCGCCTACCCAATCTGCCACATCTCCTACCCCCACCTACCACATCGCCTACCCCATCTGCCACATCGCTTACTCCCACCTGCCACATCGCCTACCACCATCTGCCACATCGCTTACCCCCACCTGCCACATCGCCTACCCAATCTGCCACATCGCCTACCCCATCTGCCACATCGCTTAGCCCAATCTGCCACATAGCCTACCCCCATCTGCCACATCGCTTACCCCCACCTGCCACATAGCCTACCCCCATCTGCCACATCGCTTACCCCCACCTGCCACATAGCCTACCCCCATCTGCCACATCGCCTACCCCATCTGCCACATCGCCTACCCCCACCTGCCACATCGCTGACCCCCACCTGCCACATCGCCTACCCCCATTTGCCACATCGCTTACCCCAATCTGCCACATCGCCTACCCCCATCTGCCACACCGCCTACCCCCACCTGCCACATCGCCTACCCCCATCTACCACATCGCCTACCCCATCTGCCACATCGCCTACCCCCATCTGCCACATCGCCTACCCCATCTGCCGTTGTCCTCCCATTGGCCTACGCTTTTAGAGGATTAAAGAACTGTTCATTAAACAATGCATCTCTCTCTCTCTCTCTCTCTCTCTGTCTCTCTCTCTCTCTTTCTCTCTCTCTCTCTCTTATGTCTTCTCTATAGTGCTGTATGCATATATATTGAATTTGAATTGTGATTTTTTTCTGTAAATACCAGGGAGAGGGCATTCAAAGTTGGAAGAACTTGTCCCCCAATCCCGTTCACTCCTTGTGAATAAATATGTTTCAATCAATGAAACTGACATGTTATCAGTACGTGAACCTTCACGTGTGTCAAAGTACAACTGTTTGCCCCGTTTAATAAATATACTCATCGACAAAAGAAACGCGAACACCATACATGTTGGTTTAATATATGAAGACGTATTCATATTTAAGAGATAATTAGATTGGTTCGATGCACAAACGAACATACTGTTATGTTGTGTGAACCGACGCTAATGAACACATCACATGTGACGTCATAGACTCGACATGCACCATTTGTCTCGTGCAGGATTTGAGTGTAAAGTTTGGAAATGCAAAAGAAATCTTAAGCAAGTGGATTCTACCCACCATCAAGGTCTAAGACTATGTCTTGGATCCTTCAGAAATTCGCCTATTGACAGTCTGACATTGAGCTGAGGAACCATTTCTTAAACAACGCCGAATAATATCATCTCTACAATTCATACCATATATTCCAATGAGTCAAATCGAGCTTACAACTGCGTTTTTAATCATCTTTATGAAGATCTTAACAATCTTCTTTTATTCCACCTCTAGGATAAGACCATTCATCTCTGCGGCAAATATTGACCTTGAAAATATATCTCCTTTCCGCCTCCTTTCTTCTCCTTGCAGTTGATAAAGTCACAGGTGGATCTTACCTTATCTGAACTAAAGAAATCTGAGACAAATCAACTACAATATCAACGAGAACATAATCAGTTAAGAACGAACATGATACTTACAAATCTGTATTTATAGCTGGATCCAAGGATGGTGACAGGGTATATCAGGTTTGTGGAGAGCATTATTTATGTAAAGCTTGTCAACAACCATGTTGACCTTTTTCCCCCAGGCATAGCTTCTCTGAGCACGTCTCTCCTGCAGGCGGCTATCTCTTCTGGGAACTGTAATCCCTTTCAACTCTTTCCACAACGTTTGACAGCGTCCCTCTCACGAGTGTATATACACTTAGCGATGATAGGGCGGGGTCACTGATCCTCACCCCTCGGGGTTGTTGCTTGTTCTTTCCTATTTTCTGTACAGATGTAAAGTGTAATTTATAACTTTCAAATTTCAGTTCATCCTGAATGAACCTTCTGAGCAGATTTTCAGTTTCTTCCCAAATTTCACCATCCCTGTCTAGTCGCTTAGGCCTTTGATGTTTGTAAATATAAGACTGTCTCTCGTAGAGCGAGCTCTTTGGTCAATTAGTATTTCTCTCAGTTCCAATGTTTCTTCTTTAATGGCTTTCAACTCACCCATCATTTGTTTCTTGGATTGCAGGCCTCCTTCCATTGTTTTCATACCGTTTTCCCACTCGCCCAAACTGTTACTGATAAATCATTGGCTTCAGGTGCAATAACGCTATCTTTTAAATCATCTACTGACTTGACTTTCAGTTCCTGATTCGAAATGCTGACTTATAATGTCACCTTTTCTAAGACCCGTGAAGATTCCGGGGTAGAATAGGTCTTCAGCAACCCGTGCTTGCCGTAAAAGGTGACTATGCTTGTCGTAAAAAGGCGACTAACGGGATCGGGTGGTCATGCTCGCTGACTTGGTTGATGCATGTCATCGATCCCAATTGCGTGGATCGATTCATTATATTAATCACTGGATTGTCTGGTCCAGACTCGATTATTTGCACACCGCCGTCATATAGCTGGAATATTGCTGAGTGAGGCGTTAAACAACAAACCAAACCAACCAACCTTTTTAAAGTGATGACGAAATCCTGCTGGTATATCGTGCATGAAGCTGAGACGCTGTAAGTCCCAATGATCGATCCCCAGCGAGGTGGCCTACCTTTAGTTGTGGGTGGTTGTAAATCATAATGTTATGATAAAATATGTTTGACAAGTTTGTTTTTAATTATAACTCTGTATTCATGGCTCAATTGTGTATATAACAACTTGTTCACGTGGCTGTATGGCTGAAATAATGGCGATGTGACATCACATTTTGCCTCACATGTTATCGAATCAAGTTTTGTCAGTCTTTTGTCGATTGAGTTAAGTCGCGTTGGGATAACCGTCGTTGCATCCTGGCAAGTTGTAGAAGCTGGGGACTAATGTATTGTTAGCATTGCTCTTGGAAATGAGTCTGTATTATATTCTGGTATAAGGGGTTAGGTGGAAACACAGTATTAAAAGACTCACGAACTAAACTTCCCGTGATTTCCACGTGTGTCGGCTTGTTACTCGTAGGAATGTCACCTATATTCAAATCACAAGAGTCATTTCAGCTTGTCGTAAGAGGCGACAACGGGATCGGGTGGTCAGGCTCGCTGACTTCGTTGTTGTATGTCATTGATCCTAACTGCGTGGATCCATGCTCATGACATCAATCACTGGATTGTCTGGTTTATTGACTCTATGATTTACAGACCGCCATCATATAGCTGGAATATCACTGAGTGCGGCGTTAAACAACAAACAAACAAATATGTACTTGCTGAGGGTCACACTCACCTTACAACTTTAATTTGCGAAATAATCCTAAAACTTTAAGAAACCAAAAGCTTGTGCCAAGGTTCCTTCAGATAAGAAGGGTTCAAATTTCAAATCGTCGTATCTGCTCCGATGGATACGATACGCTGACTATAATTTAGAGATCGAGTTTTAGCACTCAGCGAAACCTAATCATGCGAACTAAAGTGAATCTAACAGGTAATTGGAAATAAACCAACCGCTATACGTTGGCGTGTCACATATGACGTTACATCATGATACACTATCAAGAATACGAAGGATTCTTTCGAGTTCCGCATTCTTGTTTTTCTTGATATTATTTCTTAATGTAAATATCTGGTTATTGAGTATTTGGAAGAATAAGATAGTATCTGTCCCGGATGAATGAATACCAAAGACTCGAACCATTCTACACTCCAGCAGAGAACCCTGGTTTGAATTAGTTCTTTGCAATTAATGCTTGAAATACTATCACGGAGCTGTGCTCAAATAATCAGGGGTGTCATTAAATAAGAATAAACTAATAATGAAAACGTGGTAAAAGGTTCACAGGTTTATTGATAACGGCTAATTGTACTGGTAGATGACTGTAGAGGATGAGATAAACACAGTCAGCGCAAACAAGGATCACTGATTAATTACATCAGCGCAACTTGACTAAGCAATTGTATTACAGTAATAAAATGAGTAGCTACAACATCACTTTCACAAGATATAGACCTGATCCGTAGACAGTCAATTACGTCGGATGCGATCAATTGACACCTGGGTCAATTAACTCAACACTCTACTGAGCTAATAACCTCGGCTATAACGGAAAATAAACACCGAGGGCCTATCCGTAAAAATAAGTCACTTGGACTATAAAAATAGACGATTATGTCTGAATATAAACAAGGCATAATCGAATATAGTTTCAGTCACTTTAAAGGAACAAGGAAATGCTAAAATTCCAAGGGGAAGGTTGGATATCCACGGATTACTAGAAAAACGGAGTATTGGAAACGCAAGTTACTTAGTACCTAGACAATCACGGGAAGGTTGGTTATCCACGGATTACTAGAAAAACGGAGTATTGGAAACACAAGTTACTTAGTACCTAGACAATCACGGGAAGGTTGGTTATCCACGGATTACTAGAAAAACGGAGTATTGGAAACACAAGTTACTAAGTACCTAGACAATCACGGGAAGGTTGGATATCCACGGATTACTAGAAAAACGGAGTATTGGAAACGCAAGTTACTAAGTACCTAGACAATCACGGGAAGGTTGGATATCCACGGATTACTAGAAAAACGGAGTATTGGAAACGCAAGTTACTTAGTACCTAGACAATCACGGGAAGGTTGGTTATCCACGGATTACTAGAAAAACGGAGTATTGGAAACACAAGTTATTAAGTACCTAGACAATCACGGGAAGGTTGGTTATCCACGGATTACTAGAAAAACGGAGTATTGGAAACAAAAGTTACTAAGTACCTAGACAATCACGGGAAGGTTGGTTATCCACGGATTACTAGAAAAACGGAGTATTGGAAACGCAAGTTACTTAGTACCTAGACAATCACGGGAAGGTTGGTTATCCACGGATTACTAGAAAAACGGAGTATTGGAAACACAAGTTATTAAGTACCTAGACAATCACGGGAAGGTTGGTTATCCACGGATTACTAGAAAAACGGAGTATTGGAAACAAAAGTTACTAAGTACCTAGACAATCACGGGAAGGTTGGTTATCCACGGATTACTAGAAAAACGGAGTATTGGAAACACAAGTTATTAAGTACCTAGACAATCACGGGAAGGTTGGTTATCCACGGATTACTAGAAAAACGGAGTATTGGAAACAAAAGTTACTAAGTACCTAGACAATCACGGGAAGGTTGGTTATCCACGGATTACTAGAAAAACGGAGTATTGGAAACGCAAGTTACTTAGTACCTAGACAATCACGGGAAGGTTGGTTATCCACGGATTACTAGA